GTCCCGTCCCATCCCATCCCATCCCACCCCACCTCAACCTATCCTATCCCATCCTATCCTAGCAGTTCTATTAATTAAAATTATGTCTGACCTTCCACCAGAGAGGACAGGCATTAAGGAGAAGTAATAGCCCCCCACTTCCTTTTGTGAGGGCTTAATGGAGTGGCTCAGCTGTCTGGGTGAACCTTTGACTTAAGGTGTACTCACATATGTTTAGACACATTTGGTACCTCATCAAATGGTCCAGTTGTCAGTTTGTGAAAAACCGTGAAAAGCTTTTCTCGCTTTTTTCATAGTTCGGAAACTTTGATACTTTAGAGGTAGTAGGTTATTTTTATTTTCATTTTTTTAAAAAAGAGTTGGGAATTCTTTTAGAGTTGTCAGTTTGAAAATTTGAGGGGAGAGTCTAAACTTTCTGTTGTTGAGCGAGACACTTGTGAAGGGAGTTTTGCCCTGTTGTAAGACCTTTCTTGCCACCGTAGTTAAGTGAATCACAGCAACTATTAAATTAGTCACATGGTTATTAAGTGAAATCAGGCTCCCCCCATTGAGAGTTTGCTTGTCAAACGGTCGCAAAATAGGATCATGTGACCCCCAATACACTACAACCGTCATAAGTACGAGTCAGTAGCCAAGTCTCTGAATTTTGATTGTACGACCGTTGGGGACGCCGCAAGGATCATAAGTGTGAAAAATGGTCGTAAGTCCCTTTTCTCAGTGCCGTTGTAACTTTGAGTGGTTACTAAAAGAACTGTTGTAAGCCGAGGGCCTGTAAGTGGGAGGGAAGGAGAGAACCTGGTGGTTGAAATTATGCAATACATGGACCTCCCAGTATAGGGGTGTCAAACTCAAGGCCCAGTGCGAAGAAAGATCAGGCCAACGTAGCTGTGATGACCCGGAGTGTAACACAAATGTAATAAGATCCAAAACGTAAATAAATGTCCTTTAATGCCTCCAACTTGGTCCCACTGTTCAATAATTCTCAATTGGAGATTAAATTTATTCAAAAATAGTCTTCAAAAAAAAGCAATACAGTCCAAACTCAATGAGCAGATGAAGGTGAAATAAAAAACCAAAACAAACTACAATGAAGGAATTTCCACAATGGACCAGGATAAGTAATTACCAACTTCAAGGAGATAACAAGGCACAGTCTGTTGGAAGGACGCCAACCAATATAACTTCAGCCCAAAATAAAACATGCTTTGCTTCTAGCAATGCTGTGTTTTAACCGTCTCTCTTATATGCTATTCTCACCAGCTGCAGTCAATGAGGGGGATCATGGCCGCTTCCTCTCTCATGAGTCAAGTTGTTGCCTTCTGTGTTCCTCCCTGCGTGTCCTAGGATGAACAGGGGATGGGCCTGGTTCTTCCTCTGACTGCCTAGCCAGCCTCTGCCCTTCCCCAGCCTCCTCCACAACTTCCGGAGCCACAACTCCATTTCCTGTCGGCTGTTCCTCCTCTCCCTAAGAGTCCAACTCTAACAAGGGCATGACAGTAGCTTCGGCCCAGTCTACCCAGTGCGAAGAGGAAACACGCCAGCAGTTTGGGGAATGGTGTCAAGCTGGCCATGTCCACCCAACTGGCCATGCCCACCCAGCCGGCCACACCCAGCCGGGGCCCCAAGGTCAACCACAGCCCCGATGCGGTCCTCAATGAAATCGAGTTTGATACCCCTGTCCTACCGTGTTTCTCTGAAAACACAACCCTAAGGTCAACCCTAATTTCCAAGGAGTTGGGCCTAGTATTACCCCTACCCCAAAAATAAGCCCAGGGGGAGGGGTGTGGCCAGCACAAGTGGCAGCACAGGCACGGGTGTGTGTGGCAACTGTCCGGCTGCAGCTGCAACCCGCTGGTCCCCTCGGGGCAGCACAAATATCGCTTTTGCCCTTCTCTTTCTGGGCACAAGACTTCTGCTGGTTGGGCCACTTCTGCGAAGCCAGCAGCTCCGCGGCCAGCTGCTTTGCTTTTCCCCTCTTTATGGGGAGGCTCACGGGAGGCTTTTTGGATCGCGGGAGGAAAAATGGGGAGGGTTTTTTTTTGCTGCCTCAAGCTCAGCACAGACTGAGGGAAGGATGGCAGGTGGGAAAATTCCCCCCTCCTCATTCCCCCCCAGTCACCAAAAACCCTCCATTTCAAATACTGAAGGTGCAGAATGGAGGCGACGGCGCGTCCATGGCGGGTGCAGCTCAACAAGTGTGGCCTGCTGCACCTCAAAAAAAAAAAAAAAGTCAGACTGCCTTGAAAATAAGCCCATGTGCTTACTTTCCAGTCTAAAAGAAAATAAGACTCAATCTTATTTTCTGAGAAACACAGTAGTAGGCCCTTTTCTTCCCCATGCATTCCACATATTAGTAATAGATAATAGAATTCTTTATTGGCCAAGTGTGATTGGACACACAAGGAATTTGTCTTGGTGCAAACGTTCTCAGTGTACATAAAAGAAAAGATACATTCGTCAAGAGTCAAGAATCATAAGGTACAACACTTAATAATAGTCATGGGGTACAATCAGCAATCAAATCATACTAGGAAACAGTCAATATAAATAATTAGGATACAAGCGACAAAGCTACAGTCATACGGTCACAAGTGGGAGGGGATGGGCGATAAGGAGTGATGAGAAGATTAATAGTAATAGTAGTGCAGACTTTGTAAATAGTTGGACAGTGTTGGAATTATTTGTTTAGCAGAGTGATGGCATTTGGGGAAAAACTGCCCTTGTGTCTAGTTGTTCAGGTGTGCAGTGCTCTATAGCGTCATTTTGAGGGTAGGAATTGAAACAGTTTATGTCCAGGATGTAGATATTTTCAGAGCCCTCTTTTTGACTTGTGCAGTACACAGGCCCTCAATTAGAGGCAGATTGGTAGTAATTGTTTTTTTTTCTGCAGTCCTAATTACTCTCTGAAGTCTGTGTCTGTCCTGTTTCATTGCAGAACATATTTACACTAAGTCACTAAGGTGGAGAAGCACGGATTTATAGTAGAAAAGCGTACTGTATAGCATAAACTTTCCACGAAAGCAGTTCCTGAATTCAAATTGAACCGAACGCGAAGTTTTCGAGTGGGCTGTTGCTTGGATTTTTGCTAGCGTCACGATTATAGAGTGTATGCAGCAATTGGCCTTGTCTGATTTCCAAGGAAGCTGAACAGGTTCAGACTCGGTTAGCGTGTGGAATGAGGATTAGCAGGAAATCATACCAGCTAGTCTAGCTTGGCAGAGTTTAAATGCATCTTCTCAGCAGCTTCTATGTCGTTGCTAAGAAAGGTCAGACAGAACTGCCTTAGATGTGAAGGAGATTCTATCAATCCATTAGAATAGAGCTGGAAGGGACCTTGGAGGTCGTCTAGTCCACCCCCCTGTTCAATCAGGACAACATATACCATCTTAGACAAGTGACTGTCCAGTCTCTTCTTAAAGACCTCCAGCGATGAAGCACCTACAACTTCTGAAGGCAAAGCTGTTTCACTGGTTAATTATCCTCACTGTTAGGAATTTTCCTTAATTCCAGGTTGCTTTTCTCCTTGATGAGTTTCCATCCATTGTTTCTTGTCTTGCTTTCTGGTGCTTTGCAAAAGAAATTGACCCCCTCTTCTTTGGGGCAGCCCCTCAAATATTGGAATATTGCTATCCTCTCCCCTCTAGTTCTTCTTTTCTCTAAACTGACCATACCCTGTTCTTGCAACTATTCTTGATATGTTTTAGTCTCCAGGCCTTTAACCATCTTAGTTGCTCTTCTCTGCACTTTTTCCTAAGTCTCAACGTCAGTTTTTGTAACGTGGTGACCAAAACTGGATGCGGTATTCCAAGTGTGGCCTTACTAAGGTTTTATAAAGCGGTACTAATACTTCACATGATTTTGATTCTATGCCCCTGCTTATACAACCCAGGATAGTGTTAGCTTTTTTGGCTGCCGCTGCACATGGCTGGCTCATGTTTAAGTGATCGTCTGTTAGGACTCCAAAGTCCATCTCACAGTTACTGGTTTTGAACCAGGTTTCGGCTCATCTGTACTTATACCTTTGGTTTTTCCTGCCTAAGTATAAAGCCTTGTTTTTCTCCACATTAAATTTCATTTTGTTGGATTGATACCAGAAGTGGGTATTCAGCAGGTTCTGACCAGTTCTGGAGAACCGGTAGCGGAAATTTTGAGTAGTTTGGAGAACCGGCAAATACCATCTCTGACTGGCCCTGCCCCCATCTCTTCTCTGCCTCCCGAGTCCCAGCTGATTGGCTGGGTCTTCTTTGGTTGCCCTGCACAGGAGAACAGAGCTGGAAAGCAGGTTAGTGGGGTGGATTGGAAATGTAGGTTTTACAGTATCCTTCCTCTGCCACACACAATAAGGCTTGCCCACCAATCCATGCCCACCGAAGCGGTAGTAAAAAAAATTGAATTCCACCACTGGTTGTCCCCAACATTGGGCCCATTATTCTAATTAGCATTGTGGTTTGGATGAATAGATAACTCTGGGCAAAAGTCTTCCTTCCTTTTTGAGGGCATCTTCACCTCTGGGATTAGTTATAAGAGTCAACTTTTCTGCACTGCAAACATGGACACCGTTGACAGGCATGTCAAGTCAATACAGCCCTCACTGTGGGAAGACAGATCTGATTAAAAATATATGCCATAATAGTTTGCTGGGTTTTCAGTTCACCTAATTAAGAGTTAAAGGCAAGTTTCAACAGCTTTGCCTGCCTTCTGAAATCAGACATATTGCTTTGTCTGCAGTTCAAGGACTTCACTATATTTTGCTTACAACTTCAAACACGGGAGGTATGGATTTAATTTTTTTTCTAACCTTTAGTTCTTCAACAGAAGGGAAGGAAAAGATTTAAAAGGGCAAGAGAGAGAGAGAGAGAGAGGGAAGAATAAAACAATAGCATGTATGATGTGTGTCTAAGGTCTTCTCCTGCGTGACTACAAGGAAAAAATATATTCACATGATAGTTTCAGTAAAGGATTATCGTATTTCACTGTGATCATCCATAAATAATCTGCGTCAATAAGCAGCTAATTTATATGTTGCAAATGATATCATATTTATACTGAGCAATGGGAGCCATAGACACATCTTGTCAATACTGAAGGAAGAAAGGCATAGAAATTCCATTTCTGTTTTCCAGATATTTTGGGAATATGGTCACCTCAAAATACTTAAACCTTGTTTCAAAGCAAAAGTAATACATGCAGTTACTTCTTCATGGAATGTGCCAACTTCAGGACTTGCAAAAACCTATATCTGACTGGAGCACTATTCTGGAAAGAGTGCAGAGAACAGCAACAAAAATGATTAAGGGCTGGAGGCTAAAGTGTAGGAAGAACAGTACCAGGAATTGGGTATGTCTAGTCCAGGGGTCTTCAAAGTTGACAGTTTTAAGACTTGTGGACTTCAACTCCCAGAATTCCTCTTCCAGTCATGTTAGCTCAGGAATTCTGGGAGTTGAAGTCCACAAGTCTTAAACTTGCCAAGTTTGAAGACCCTTGGTCTAGTTTAATGAAAAGAAAGACCAGACGGGACATGATAGCAGTGTTCCAATATTTGAGGGGCTCCTATATAAAGATGAGGGGGGTCAGACTATTTTCCAAAGCAACAAAAGATCAGACAAGAAACAATGGATGGAAACTAACCAAGGTGAGAAGCAATCTAGAACTAAGGAGAAATTTCCTAAAGGTGAGAGCAATTAACCAGTGGAACAACTTGCCTTCAGAAATTGTGGGTGCTCCATCACTATAGGCTTTTAAGAAGACATTGGTCAATCATTTGCAAGCCAGGATTTTTCTGCAGGTCAGAATTGATATTCAGACATGTGTTAGAGATATTGTGAGCATGTCTGTCTTGCTTTATTTTCCCAGGAGAACTAGCTGAAGAAAAGCTACCCCCCATTTCTCCCTATGGTGAGACCTTCCTTATGAATTCTCCTGAAGACATGGTGAGTTGTTTACTACCTGGAAGTCTGCAGTTACATTCCAATAATGGTGAAATGGTTGATTGTATGGGTGTTGTGGCCCGCCAGCGGCCAGCAGAGCTGGTGGCAGAATCAGACAGTGAGGAGGTTGGGGAGGAACATGGGGCAGTCCTGGAGTCTGAGGAAGGCTCTGATGAGTGCTCTGCGTCGGAGGCAGAGATGGGGCCAGGGCTGTCCGACAGTTATCAGCTGCCTTGGGAGTCAGTGGGGCAGAAGAACAGCTGGAGCCTGTTCCCAGTGTGCTCATGTGCAGAGCTGCCAGGAGAAGGGAACAGTTAAGGAACAAGATTCAATTTGGGAGTAAAGCCACAGGTAGAAGGTGAATGGCCCCTCCTATAGGGAAGGTAACAGGTAGCACATACGTGCTTATCTCTGTTACACAGCCGAAGAGCCAGTGCTGTCCGAAGATGTCTCACTGGTCATGTGGCTGGCATGACTAAATGCCAAAGGCGCACAGAACGCTGTTCCCTTCCCACCAAAGGTGGTCCCTATTTTCCTACTTGCATTTTTACATGCTTTTGAATTGCTAGATTGGCAGAAGCTGGGACAAGTAACAGGAGCTCCCTCCGTTACGCGGTGCTAGGGATTCAAACCGCCGAATTGCTGACCTTTCTGATTGAAAAGCTCAGCGTCTTAGCCACTGAGCCGTGTCCCTATAAAGCAGTGGTAGTGAATGGATAATAAGGAGATTCTAGTGAAACTTAGATATGTGTGCTAATTCCCTGGGTGATGATTAAGCCAGTGCATTGGTTTGCACTTAGTGCAAAAAAAAAAAAAAGACAATTTGTCACAAGCCATGTCCTTCTGTTTATGATGACTTAAAACAAGGGCTTTCCAACTTGGCAAGTTTAAGACTTGTGGACTTAACTCCCAGAATTCCTCAGCTAACATGACTGGAGGAGGAATTCTGGGAATTGAAGTCCACAAGTCTTAAAGCTGTCAAGTTTGAATGACTCCTGACTTTTAAAATGTCATTAAAATACCAATTTGTTCCCTGGCTGATTTGAGTGTGATTACGGATGAGAAGAACACTAAGAATAGAGACCTCTGAGTTGGAGCCCACAAAACGTCTCCAAATTTAGCTTCACCCAGGCATGACCTCATGTATTTTGTGGTTCTCCACCACTTCCTCTGGTTCAATGTGGTCACCACGATGAGGTGGCACCTTGTGAGCTAACGAGAGCCTGCCAACAAATCAGGAATGAGGGAAACGGCACTGCGGCTTTCAGTGACTCGAAGTGAAACTTCATGGAGAGGACTTCCTCTTCTATGTTTCCTCCTTCCATTAGCCCCGTGCCCTTCACTCCGTGGGCAAGGCGGTATGTGGTCATGATTTCCCCTAAAACATAATGAGTAGATGTTCCCCTCCTGCTCCAGAATACCTCACCTTAGTCTGAGATCAGAGGCTGAGATCTTTATTTTATTTTTATTTATCTGATTTGTCGATCACTTACAAGATAGTAGGAATAAGTATAAATATGAGTAAGAATACAAGAAATAGGTACAATAAATGGGGACAATAGGACAGGGACAGCAAGCACGATGGTGCACTTATGCACACCCCCTTACAGACTTCTTACAAATGCGTATTCTCTCCCTTTCTCTCCTCCCTACATTCTTTTCTTTCCTTCCTTCCTTCCTTCCTTCCTTCCTTCCTTCCTTCCTTCCTTCCTTCCTTCCTTCCCCTTCCCTGTTCTCCTTCCTTCCCCCTTCCTTCTTTCCTTCCTTATTATATTTTTTATTTATTTGATTTGTCAATCACTTACAAGGTAATAGGTATAAATATAAACACAAGTAAGAATACAGGAAATAGGTATGGATAAATGGGGACAATAGGACAGGGACGGTAGGCACGATGGTATGCTTATGCGCACCCCTTGCAGACCTCTTGGGAATGGGGTGGGATCAATAGTGGATAGTTTAAGGTTAAAGGAGTGGGGGTTAGAGGATGGAACAACAGAGTCAGGTAGTACATTCCAGGCATTGACCAGTCTTGCTAAACTTGGGAGCGGTTTACATTGAGTTTGTTTCTGTTGTGTGCTCTTGTATTGTTACGGTTGAAGTTGAAGTAGTCATTGACTTGTAGGACATTGTAGCAGATAATTTTGTGTACTACGCTTAAGTCCAACCATAGGCGGTGTAGTTCTAGGTTGTCCAAGCCCAAAATTTCAAGCCTGGTGATATAGGGTATTCTGTTGCAAGCAGAGGAGTGTAGTACTCTTCTCGTGAAATACTTCTGGACTCGCTCAATTGCATTAAAGTCCGATATACAGTGCGGATTCCAGACAGATGAGCTGTATTTGAGTATTGGTCTAGCAATTTACACCAGGTGAACTGGGCTATTCGGGTACAGGTATGTGTACAGAGACCAGTACTCTTAAACCATCCAGAATTAATCCATCCATCCTTCCTTCCTTCCTTCCTTCCTTCCTTCCTTCCTTCCTTTCTTTCTTTCTTTCTTTCTTTCTTTCTTTCTTTCTTTCTTTCTTTTTTTCTTTCTTTCTTTCTTTCTTTCTTTCTTTCTTTCTTTCTTTCTTT